GAAAAAAAAATGAGTGAGCATTTAAACATCTGTTTAGTGTGTATTGGCACAAATCAACTACTTGTGAGGGGAAATGGGAGCAGAAATCAGGGCAGATGTTCAAGGATTCCCAATTCTGTTGGAGACAGGACCTAGATAACAAGTCCCTCAGCAGCCCTACCCAGCAGGTCTGTGTGAGCACAGTTTCCTGACCCCATGGCCGGGAATGCTGAAGCCTTGCAGGGCAAGGACACAGCTGGATGACAGAATCTGACAACAACCTGCAAATTCAGTGGTGGGTTGAGAAGACAGAGGAGGAACGAAGACACGGGAACTGGACAAACAACATCAGGGGCATTTTCCACCTGTGCCACATACTTTTGCCTCACCCTGAGCAAACCCTTGTACCTCTTTCCCTCACTTCTCACACTTCTGTGCAACAGGCAACTCCTCAACCTTCAGCTGTCTGATGCATTTACAATATGAGCTTTGCAGTCCACTCAGCAGAGGCTTCGTTCTCCCTTGGGTCCGTGTGTGCCACCCCCGGCCTGTAAATCAGGTCCTCTGATCATAATCCATCATGTTCTCCATGAGCAGAGGCATCCGGCCCCCGAGGACACAGCTGGGTGAACACAGGGCACACAATGTCTGCCACATTAGTGATGAAATAAAATGGCATTCTCTGCCTTTCTGGGAACTGGCTGGAATTACATTTCGATTGTTATTTGTCAATTGAAATGATGGACTAAGAGTTTCTGGTCGAAAGGTCTTGCAGGCTGTTCCCCTGCAATCAATACAATATTGAGCACGAGTTTTACATGATTTTTCTACTTCTTTGGCTGATGCAGCGAAACTTATGATCAACTGGCCTTTTGAACAAAATCATTCTTTATTAATCAAATATTTCTAGATGAAATACACCTGGGCCAGGAGATAGGAACGAAATTTATAGCCACAACACCATAAATCACTGCCCAGTCTCTTGCTCACGGTCATAAGCAATAAATTTATTGCAGTTGCACAGTTTTCATCGGTGACTTCAGCCACAAGAGCTGACTGTGAGTCTGCTCCCAGCCCCTGCTACGAGGAAAAGCAGGTGTACTTGTTGACTCCCATTTGGAGGCCACTGGAATTGTGTTACATTTCCATGTCTGCTTTCACATCACTTGAATTTTTATTTGTGACAGAGCAGAAACCCCAACTTCCTCACTTATTGGGGTCCCACCTCATGGGCAGTAACTTCTTGGGAGCAAACTCCACGCTGAATCCATGTCAACCTTCTCTTTCTGACTGCAAAGAGGAAAGAGAACCTTGAATTTGGGGAGGAACTGAATTAAACCCAGAGCTGATAATTAGCACTCCTTCAGCACAGATTCAAACCTCAAATCCCTGGCATTTAGAGAGGTACTTGCATAGGAAGACGAGGTCCAAATGGCCTTGATTTCAATGCTTAATTAAATTCAGAAAAATCAATTCTTCCTGAACCCTTTTTCCTTTGCACAATGTTTTTTCCTCTTCTCCATCAGACTCGCTGCCAAGAGCCACCCTAAACATCCAGAGCTCCCTGCTCAGCACAGACACAGCGTTGGGGTTTTTGTGTATTTCCCAGGACTATTAACAGAGTAATATAATGAGAAATGAACTGAGGTTAAAGAATTCAGTACCTCGTGTATTTTCACTGAAAACACTGACTGCATCAGGGGACCTGCCAAGAGGAGAGTTTAATATCGTATGAAAAGGAAGAATTTTCATAATGACACTTGGCAGTGGCTGCATCCCCCCCATGAATGGAGCTGCTGGGGCTTTCTCTCCTCCTCCTTTCTCTATTCTCCCTCTCCCCTCAGCCCAATGGCAGGACAAGGGATTTTCATTTGGAAGTGGTGGGAACAATAGGAATGAAGATTTGGGCAACCCTTCAAGGGGTGACTCTTCCAGAATTGCCCAATTCCGACTGCATTCACACAAGCACTGTAGTGGTTGGAGTTATATATTCTCTTACAGCATTGTTTGTTCCCTTATTTCTCACTCCCATCTATTTGAGAACTTCATGCCATAAAAAAAGAAAAAATAAAATAGGGATGAATGATTGAACAGGGATAACAATATTTTCTATAACACAGATCAGACATTCTTGATATATTATGTTTTATTATGCAGTAGGCACTAGTTCTCAATGAAAAACTCACAGTGTGGCAAAAACTGGCCCCACTCCCCAGTGATGGACTGATTTGACATGGTTTTATAATTTTTACTAAAACTTCAGAGTCAAAGTTTTGTCTGACTAAAACCAAACTTAAAGATGACAGGCTGCCCCAGCACAGTTTGAGATGGAACAAATACATCAAAACTCTCGCATGAGAAAGGCCCAACACCAGAAAAACAACTCCTTGTGGAGAGATGGAAGAGCAGTGGTCCAACTCTGCCCTTTCCAGGTGACACTTGTGAATTAAAACAATCCCACCGAGATTTTGGGGGGCTCAATATCCACCCTCGGGGAGTCACTCCAACCCTGCAGCCATAAAACTGAGCGCACAGAGCTCATTTTCACTGAGACTCCGGGTATAGAGTCAGCAGAAAAATACCCTGGAATGAGGATTACAGAATGTAACTCTCCTTCAGAGGTGACGCAGGGCCCTCATTTGCAAGTGATAAATGTCACTGCTCTTCCATCTGCAGCCTTTTAAAACCATTTTGAGGGAGGTGCAATGAGGCTGCACAGCCTTGCAGAGACAGGACAGGGGACAGCGGAGCCATCTGAGCTTTATTGAGTGCGTCATGGGAGACTTGTCCTTTTTTATTCCCCCCCCCTTTTTTTTTTTTTTTAACAAAATGAGGTGCCCCAGGGGAAAGTCAGCAGCTAGAAGCGGCCCCACCTGAGTGTGTCTTGGGAGGAAGCCTACGGCCTCATATTTTTTAAAAGGGAAAAAAAAAAAAATTATAATAATAGAGCCGAGCCAAAAATATCAAGCAGCTCCTAGCTGTGAAAAAGCCAGGGAAAGCTGAGTCGCAGCCGGCCAGTGTTGTTCTTCCAAACAAGCTGACCACCCTCCCTTCATAACATTTTATTTATTAAAGCGAAATTGGCCCACTGGAGTAAAATTATGCCATATTCATATGCATATCCATATGTATATATAATTATGTATGCGCGCACACACACGCGGTTATTCATCGCCACATTTCTACACAGAAGGTCCCTCTAGATTTTTCCTACTGAATTCGTTAAAGGGGGAGAAATTTAAACGGTGTGGACGGGACGGGGCTATAATTCGGTTATAATTCATTGACAGCTGTTATAATTCAGATATAATCCGTTATAACTCAGCGCAGGCCCCGAGGCGCCTCAGGCCGCACCAGGCCCTGCCGTTGCCATGGCAACAGGGAGCCTCCTTCCCATTGGTCCGCGCTCGGCCGAAGCGTCACTGCGCAGCCAATCAGCGGCCGCGGTTCGGCTGCCCGGGAAGATGGCGGCGGGGCTGGGAGGGGGCGATGGGAGCGGAGTCCAAGGTCAGGGGCTGCTTTATGGACTTATTTTGGTATCTCCGTCCTTATCCGGCCCTTCAGAGCACCTTCTCACAGGGAACAGAGCCACGTCAGTTTGGGGATTCTGTGATCCTGTGATATTGGCGGTTCACACACCAAAAAAATCTCCAGGGACTTTCTGGCTGAGCGTTGTATAGAAACACAGTCATAAATTACTGCATTTACATTTGCATCACAGCACTGTTACATGAAGGCTCAGATCAGAAGCAGCACCTTCTGATTTTCCTCTCTTTATTTTTTTTCCCCTATGTGCTCCTTCCCATTTTAAAGTCCCCCCTATTTACCTGCATCACAGTCTAGACAGCTAATGAAATAATAAGAGCCCAGCGGGTTTTTGCAAGAACTTGGACAAAAAAGAGCATAAGAAATAAATATATGAGTAAGAATTGGAAGGTCGGTGGCTGGGTACTGAGTGTGTCACAAGCAAGAGCGTCCCGGGATTATGAGGTGCCTTACTGCCATTCCTAAAATCCCCAAAGGAATCACCCCGTTGTTCTAAAGACCACGTAGGAACAGCAGGTCACATTTATAAAATGTGCTTAAAGATGTAGTTGAATCCCAAAGGGATTTTTCCAGGCAGTTCATAAAACCAGGTTGTGAGTCACCCCTGGAAGCTAATGGGAGTAAGGCCTGGAACTTATCTAGGTGCTTTTAATAAATCCTGCTCTTTCCATATCGACATGATTAAATGCATAATATGCTTTTTTTAAAATGTGACCCAGTGTTTATGCAGTGCCAAGAGCAGCAAGCTGAGCACTAAAATGCTCCGTACTTCTGGAAAATAGTGCCTGCTCTGGAGAATCCGAAATATTAACGAGCAGGTAAGCGTGCAGTCAGACTGAGACAGCGAAACGAAGCTTCTTCCTCTAAAAAAAACCTCACAGCAGGGCTTTAGTCTTTTAATTTTTAAGGATGCTTTTGTTTAGAGTTTGAATTTCAGAAGTTGCCTCTGAACTCTCAAGGCCAGATTTTCATTCCCTCTGCTTACTGTAGGTAATTCCCTGGGGAGCATCCTGACCACAGCAATCAGGCATTGCTGGATTCCCGTCACCCTCCACACAAGGCATGAAAAAGCAACGGGTGAATCCTCTGGAAACCCCAGTTCTCACGTTGCCCCTTCTCACAGCAGAAAGATACAGGGAATAATTGTCCCTTTCCCTGCTGGTTGCTCATCATTCCCCTTGTTGCCCATCAGTTTTTCCAGCCCGTGGAGGGTGTTGTTGCGTGGTCCTTCCTCCCGTCTTGCTCCCGGCTGTTGTTTCTGGAGCTGCCCCTACTACTGCTTGGCACGGCTCCCCCCTGCACTCTGAGCTGGTGGCAGGCAGGGCTGAGCCCTGCCCAGCACTTTTCCCAGGAAGGCCTGGCTTCCTCTCAGAGGAAAACCAGCTCAGCCCCTGGAGCGTGGCTGCCAGTCCCTCGGGGAGAAAATAAAAAGTGATTCAGCTTATTTTTGTCTCGGCACCAACGTCCCCGGCGTGGTTTGATTCGAAACACGTTCCTTGCTTACAGCAGTGATTTTATTTGAATGTTGATTGTTTATTTATCATTCCCTTGTATGTGTGTGGCTGGATAAAAAGCCCTTTTGTTTTGAAGCGTCCTGAGAACTGCGGGAGGGACAGGGGAAGCTCAGGAACTCCTGGTGGACTGAATAAAACAATGATAATAAAATTATAGAAGGTTGGAGCCAGAAGGAGACCAAGTAGATGGTGTAATTGAACTTCCCACACTAAACCTGGACGTGGATGTTTGCTGGCGTGTTCTTAAACGTTTTTAACACCTCCAGGGAGCTTCCATAACATTGTGAGATGGATCTTCCTGATGTTCTACCTCTGTGACAGTGAGAAGCTCTTGCCTAACTTGGCAAAACTGAGCATGGAAGAAATTTAAATTGCTCTGAAGTGCCTTCCTTTAACTGAAATAGGTTAGAACTAAACATGTGTTATTAGGGCAGGAAGATATTTGGAATTTCAAGTGAGTTGGGTTTTTTTTCTGAGGTGTTTTCTGGTTTAATTTGGGAACTTTAAATAGAGGACTTAAATGGTGGAACGGGTGTATTGGTTTTACACGACATTCCTGGGGGATAACTGAGGATCAGGAATCGGGTACCTCTTGAAAACAGGCAGGCAAGAGCATGTGATGGAATCCTGGGTGACAACATCATTCCCTGCACATTTCAGAAGGGGATACAGAGGGAGAATTCAGGCCCAAAATAAAGTCTTCCTTACCTGAGCTGAACGCTTTTCACTCTCAGATGAAAGTTATTGTATCAAATTGAGGTGCCATGGATAAGCCATGAGTGGCTGGGAGAGGAAATCCCAGTTTATCTGACTCACCATTTTTGTGCAAATATTAACTTTGGCTGAGACACATTTCTCCTGATATCTCTTTTCCAGATCTGAGTCTCAGAGTACATTGTCTTGGCTGTATTGAGCTGTAGCCTTTGGTTACTCAAATAACTTGCATTTTTAACAGTTTTATCTATTTATTGTATCTGAAAGGTAAAGAAAATGCGATTTTCCCCATGACTCTGCATCTGGGGATGCAGTATTAAATTCTGCACCAGTGGAAAACTCAGATTTAATGATGGCAAAAGGCACAATGCTGAGGATTTCGTTTTCTTTGCTAAAACTGGTGGAAAACCCTCAAAGATGGCAATTCCAACTTCCCAGGATCTACCTGCACTTTTATCTCCCACAGTCTCACGGATTTATTTTGTCAGTAGGACTCCTTGGAAGGAGAAACACTGGTGGACACTGGAGTTAACCTTTAATTTTGAAAAATGTTCATATTCTCTCTCAAAACAAGAGAGGTTGCTCTTCAAGGTTGCTCCCACCAACCAGATTGTTGTTTCTGTTCAGAATTGTCACAGGTGATGAGGAGAGAGGAATTTAATTAAATTAATTAAGTTAAATTGATTAAGATATCCATGTATTTCTTGTGCTTCCCTCCTCATCATACAAACCAGGGGGTCAACTTATGCAATGGAGGAAAACAGGAATGCAGAGCTGGAATCCAGAAGCCCGTGGGAGATCCCAAATTTTGAGCACTAGGGGGAAAAAAACCAGGAGTGAATTTGGTGAGCCGTGGCTGCTAAACATGGATAATGCATTTGGGCTTCTTGAGAAGTCTGGAATTGAAACCAGTCACTTTTCAGTTTATTCTTTTTCAAGTCTCTGTTTCACCCTGTGGGTGTTAAAGTGCTGATGCAAGATGATAAAGGCAACTGTCTTCCCAGGCCTCCCCGCCCTGGGGACACTGTTCTGATGGCATTCCAGATGCTGCTGTTCCAGACAGAACAGCAAAATGAACTTTTCCAGCTGGGATGCCAAGCAGGATTTTAGGGAGGGTGACTGTAACTAGCCCCAGTTTGGACAGAGTACCAGGGCTAACACCCACACTCTTCCAAACTGTGCCCTGGGGTCTCCGATGGCCTCAGGTGCTCAGAGCGGGGGTGTGACCTCCTGCAGGGACAGATCTTCTTCAGGACCTCGACACTCCTCTGCCCTGCGGTCCCACCTTCCCACACTCGCAGCTGTGTCGTGGGGACGCTCAAAATAGCCAATGTTTTTTTCCCCTGTTCTGTAATTCCTTTACAAAATGGGTAAAATAAACTGTTGAGCAGATAAGGGACTGCTGCTCCGAGCCAGGATGGAAAGGAACTGGGAAAGGCTCCATGAGCAGCATGAAGTGAGCAAGGCAGAATTTCCAGGGCATCATCTGGTAGCTCTGCCTTGTTTTGCTGGTTTGCTTAACATTGCCATGTTTTGTTTTGTTTAATTTTGGGTCCTTATTTCATCTTATTTTTTGACTTCGAGACTGTTGCAACTTCCCCGAGTTCCCAAGTCCCTGTGCACTTATCTTATCTGGGTTTCCTAATTTCCACTATTAGGTGATGTCTGACACCTTCTTTGCTCAGATCTGGCTGTCTGGACACACAGTGAGTCACTCACTCTCCCCCCTCATCTTCCCACCTCCCCTCACCCCCACATGGAGGGGGGGACTGTTTTCCTCAGGTTATCCCAGTCCATTGGAATGAAGGGCACACCACGTATATGAGTGGTTCAGATGAAAATCTCGCTGCTGAAAGGTGCTCTGTTAATTCTTCTGGAGGGAATGAAGCCTGAGGATGGAGCTTTGGACAAGGGGAATGGGCAGGAGATGCTTTCAGGTTGCTGGAAGAGTGGACCTATAGCACAAATGTGCTCTAGAATGCAAGTCACTGCCTCCAGAACAAGGGAATGACTCCAAATGTCAAGCAAAGATCTGTGACAGGAGGGAGGACAGCAGTGTGATTTCATCTGCTCCGATAAGATTCCTGATGATTTTTTTCTCAGCCCTGAGGCCCTGGACACTCAACTCCCTCCTCACTTTCTGGTCTCCAGCATCACAGGAAAGCCAAGAGATCTGCTCTGAGCCACTGCTTGGGTGGAGGTGCCGGATTAAAGCCCGGGATTAAAGCTTCTGATTGCTCAACAGTAGCTTTGATACACCGAGAGCTGGTCCCATCCACAGCCTGGGGCTTGTGACTGCATTCCAATGGGCATCCCTAATTCCCCCCGAGTGCAGAGAGCAATCCTGGGAAGTCAGCCTGCTTCCTTTGCATTGTGCCTGCTGGCTGATGACCCGCGTTTACCGACGCCACTGACTCATCTGCAAGTGTGATGCTTGGCTAAATAAAATTGCCTCCCGTCAGCAGTAACCTTTAATTAATGCACGGTGATCAGTGTGAGATATGATTGCCCATGGTTGGAACTGTGATGGGAATGAGGCAGGTGCCTCAGACTGGACTGGACTGGCCTGTGTTTGCCCCCATCCCATCCCTGCCAGGCGATCCAAGTCGCTCAGCAGTGCCAGAATTTGGCAGGTTTCCCTGCCCCAAGGAGTTTGCAGTTTGAAGAAGCGCTGCTTTCTTCACCCTGCTCTTAGAGCTGTTCCCATGTCAGTCAGTGGCATGAATTCCCATCTTCCTTTTGTTGACATGTAAATGAAGTTTGTCAGGACTTTGCCCAACCTGCATGGAGCCTGCCAGGTCACAGGGGTGTGCTCAGGGCTCTGTTCTCCCACTTTTTACCCTTGGAATGTCCTGCAAAGATAGTTTGGGGGGCAGAAGAGAGGAGTTTGAGGGAGGCTGGCAAAGGGCAGCACTGAAATCATCAGGCACAAACAGCTGCTGTGAGTCCTTGCTGGTGGATTTATGTTAGATTTGAGGAAGCACTTGGTATGGGAGTAACAACTCCCAGGTTCCTCAATGAGTCTTGCAGAGGGAACAATTAAAATATGATTTTTTTATTATGGGAAGGACAATTAGGAATTAATTGATGCTGTATTTGGGAGCCCCAGGGACTCTGCTCTGAAGTGCCTCTTAACACTTCCCACTTAGTTGTTTGATCAGAAGTAAAAATTGTTAAAGCATTAAAATGTACTTGGCCTCAGTGTATTTTCCAAGTCATTTCCATTTTATTTGTTAAGCTAAAAGAAATTAATACTGTCAATATTCATAATTTCAGCCTTTGAAAACATTTTTACTGTGATATCAAGGGTGATAAAAACATCTTCCGGAGCAAGAGAAAGAGCAAGAGAGCGATGGAAGTTTTTGGTTCCCATAAATTTAATTCCTATAAAGTCTGGACACCCTGGGTGGATGCCTTGGCTCAGAAATGGCCTCCTGGCTCCTCCTTTTAGTCTTGGTTTTTAATTGGAGCCAGGAGAAGGATCCCAGCATTTGCCAGGTGAATGAGAGCTGTACCCTGGCACGAGGCCTGCAGACCCATTACTGGTTTGTAGATTAAAATAAGGACAGGGAAAGGGGTGGAGAGGGACAGGGAGAGGGAAAGAGAAAGGGAATAGCAAAACACTTTGTTCTAATTCAGGTGCCGAAGTTAATCTGGGTGCCCTGACAGCCCGTCTGCCACGTACAGGGCGGAGGAGGAACAAACTCCTTCTACCCACGTGTTACATTCCCTAATTATCCCCGTGCCAGCCTCCAGGAACAATTGCAGGCTGCTGCCAGAGCCTGTGCCTGCTCAGACATCATTCCCATGGGGAAGCTCAGGGAATGGCTTGGCTGCCCTGGGATCAGGCAGTGCTTCCAGCCCGGGAGCAGCTCTGGCCTCGTGGAATGTGGGCTGGTGGTTACAGGGGAGGGTGGGGACAGGATTTTTGGGTTCTGTTTGTGATGTTGTGACTGAACTGCTGCAGCTTCAGCCCCAGCACTTGGTCTCTGGCTCGGTTTCCTCAGCCTTAAACCAGGGAGGATCCTGATAAGAGTGTCAGGACTTGGGAACAGAGGGGTTTCAGGGTCTGGTTCCAAAGCTGTAACAAACCCCACACTTTGCTGTCTGGTCCATCCTAGTTTTGAATGAACCACTTTTTTTGGCAGAGTTTTAAGTCTAGTGGACTTCACAGTCAGGGCCAAATTTCACAGAATCGTGGAATCATGGAATTACTCAGATTAGGATTATCATGCTTATTATCATGCCATGGGCAGGGACACCTTCCACTATCCCAAGTTGTTCCAAGCCTCATCCAACCTGGCCATGGACACTTCCAGGGATGGAGCAGCCACCACCTTTTACATTCTTACACATCCACATTTCCTTTTATATTAGGGAATAATACCTGTTATTAAACCCCTAATTCTCAGGTTTCCCTGGACACAAAGATGAAGACACTTGGTCACTATAATGGCAAAAGATATTATTCTGCTCTCTATTGAAGACAAAACCCTGAAATTGAGTATTTATTTACATTTTCAAACAACAACAACAGAAACCCAAACAAAAAACTACCAAACAACCCCAAACAAACAAAAATCCAGCAAACAAACTTAACGGGGCTTGGAAATCTCTCCACACAAATTCATTTATACCAAGTTTGTTGCTGCCATTTCACTGTTTTTTTTTTTTTTTTTTTTTGGTCCCTGTCAGAATGATTTCCATCACTAATTTTATAATGATTTTTTCTGGAAAGGAAATTCCATTTGTGCTAATCAATTGAAAAGAACTAGGAAGACAAGATAAGCAGAGGGGTAGGAATTGGAAGATATGCTTGGCCTGGGATAGATTAGTTCACCTGTATGACCCAAATTATCTTTTGGCTGAGCCAGAACCCTTTTCCTGTGAATTGAGTTGGTGTCTAATTGACTACATGCCAGGGTGACTCAGATGGCTGAAAGGCAATGCTGGTACGTTTTTATCCTCTCTGTTATTGAAGAGACCCCCATTTCAAACTCACCAGTTTTAAGCTGCCGTAATTCCCATTATCGTGGTAATCACCCTGAGTTCTGCCTGACCTGGAGATCTGAGTTCAGACCACTGAAGGATTTATGTGCTTAGTAACCATTAGGAAATACTACAGTAGGGTCCAGTTCCATCTCCTGCAGTGGCTGAGACCCTCAAAGCCCCAGGGCGGGGGCGGTGCATGTTGTCCTTCTTTTGGTCCTGTCATTATTTCACTCAGATGATCTTTTCCTAAAATGCAGCAAATTTCACTTTGATGCCCAACATATCTTGTGATTTTCTGACTGGCCATATCCAGTGTCTTATAAGAATCATGCCATCATAAAACCCATCTGAAGTTCCCTAAAATATCTATATTCTGATATTCCTAAAGTTTATTGGAGAAAGACTCTCTCAGGGCTGCCTTGTATTTCTTTGCCATTGTTTATGCTGAGTAAACTCCTTGGAGACAAGGAGCAAATTCCTCAGAGAACTTGTGGTCGGATCAATTTGAGGAGCTGTTTCCATGTTTTCTGATGCAATCCAGTGTAACAATGTTGTATCCCAGTAAACATGGAAATGGAGCAAGGAAAACATTTCTCAATCAGCTTCCTAAAAATACTGCTCTGGGTGGGGAGGGGCTCGAGTTTTATTCCAGGAGCTCCTTCAAGCCCTCCTCGGTTTCCACAGTGTCTCAGATTTTGCTTGGTCTTATATTTCATGTGCTTATAGATTGGGAAACAGAGTGTTCCACGGGCCAAATGCCCAAGAGCCTGACATGCAATAACCATTACGGAGTCAAATGTGCATATTCCTGGGTGGAAAGGTGCCAGGCAGGGCTGGAAGCAAACTTGGCAAAGTGGGCAGATCCTCAAGGGTGATCCTGGGAGGGGCTGCCTTCAATTGCCTTTTCTGACTTGGTGGTTGAATATTCTGGTGCTCTGTTCTGCAGGGGGATAAAGGGGGATGTCTTTAATGTGTTAGTTTGGTATTCTGGGATTTGGGGTATTTTGCTTTGTTTTAATTGTCTTCCTCCCCCTCCTTGCCTGAGGAGTTCTCAGATGGAACCTGATGAAAATACAAGTGCTTGCTGAGTTCCTGGAGAGGAGGGAGGGAATGACAGGAGGTTGTACAACTCATTCCTGTGCCTGTGTCCATCTTCTCACATGACACCAGATTTAAAGATTTCTCCTCTTTAGGCCCTGCCTCCTTCCTGGAGAAATGCTGGAAGTACAGCCAGGGTAGGAAAAATGGCTAAAGGAAAGTTAAACCTTCAGAAGTCCTCGTTGATGGAAGCTGCCTGGATCCAGGCTGTAGGTGCTCATAAGAGTTAATGAAAAAGGTATTAAATATCCTTCTCCCACCCCGACAGAGATTGCCTGGGATAAGTATTCCCTGAATTCTCATTTCCTGCTCCTGCATATTGGGCCTGGGCTCCCACAGCCAGTCAGGCATGAAACACTTGGCCACGGATTTGCAGCCCAATAGGAGCAGTTCCATTGCAGGTCTCTTATTTGCATAATTGGGTGCTAAGGAAAACAAAGCTTACAAATTGCTGATAATTGCAACGTGTCAATTATGTGGGGGTAGGTCAGAGGTGGAATGGAAAGGTGAAGTCTCCAGGTGTGCTGAGGTCAAAAGCAAGTTGTTACTGAGGGGAAACTTGTTAGGGGTAATAGCTATCAGAGGAACTCCTGGTAAAGCCCTGTTGTTAAATAACATGTTGCTGCAGTGGTCCAGGAGAGAGGGACCACTGCCAGCAGGAGTTATTGGGTACTTCTTCATGTGTTACTTGAGGGGGACCGAAAAAGGGCTCTAAAAGGAGCTGTGAACACTCTGGTTGTAGAGCAAGGGGTACAAGACAACTGCACAAGCTCCCTCAGCTCTCAGGGACTGTCAGGAGAACACCAGGGCAGAGGGAGGGCTCTGCTGGGACATGACTCGTGTCATTCTCCCAGGGATCCTCTTTCTCCTCACTTGCTTTTCTGTCTTGAACCGAACAGCAGCCAAGGCAGGAGAGGAACTGTCTGACAAAGGTTTCTTTGACACAAGGGGATGATTTTTGCTAGAAAGCACTTCCTTCTCTGCTGAAGGGCTTTGAAGTGGTGTCTTTGTTCTTTCAGGCTTGTTATTTTTTTTTTCTCTTTAAAACTGATAGACAAAATACTTGAAAGTCATCTTTTAATACAGGCAGGATAACAGGAGCAGCAGCAGAAACCCTTCATTTGAAAAGGTGTCATCGTGCTAAAAGTGATGGTTTTGAAATATCATTTCTAATCCTTGTTAAGAAAACAGTGCCTTAAATAATTGAAAACTGCTGGTTGTGTTTTAAAACATGTATCATTTACTCTTCAAGTTGGCTTCTCCCTTCAGAGTGTATCTCAGGGTGCCCTGTCTCTGCTGACTCTGATCTTTGTACCTCTTTCATGTGGCTTGGCTTTACTATC